AATTCCTCGTATAGTCACGTGATGAAATTATTGTTGTTCTAAATCTTCTAAGTGTGTACTTAATGTATGTACTCAATGTAGGTACACTATGTATGTATGTATGTATGTATGTATGTATGTATGTATGTATGTATGTATGTATGTATGTATGTATGTATGTATGTATGTATGTATGTATGTATGTATGTATGTATGTATGTATGTATGTATGTATGCTCTGTTTCTCTCTATATCTATCTGTCTGTCTGACTGACTGTCTGCATGTATGTATGTATGTATGTATGTATGTATGTATGTATGTATGTATGTATGTATGTATGTATGTATGTATGTATGTATGTATGTATGTATGTATGTATGTATGTATGTATGTATGTATGTATGTATGTATGTATGTATGTATGTATGTATGAATGTATGTATGTATGTATGACTTTCTTTATTTCCTCTTCAAAAGAGATTATATTCAGTTATTTTTCATCATCACCCTATAAAGATAGGAACATAGCTTGACATTAATGGGTACATAACACATTACTGTAGTATATATCCACAAAAGTAAAGAAAACACAATATCTAAACTCATGAGTGAGATAACTCACTGCAATCAAAAGATATAAGCAACATAAATTAAAAGGAGAAGAAAACTAATAAAATTATTTACATTCGACTGGAACGATTTAGAATGATTATCACATTGTCTCTTGCTTGGAACACTTGAGAATAATTTATGTGATAGAAATGAAATGGGTCCATTTCCCTAAAATACTAAACATACATTATATTAGATATCGTTTTCTAGTTCATTTGTTCTTCTGTACATTGTGTCTATTCCTTCAGCCACCACATACATGAATGCATGCCACTCTCTTGTCCATAAGGATAAGAAGTAATGAATCATTATTCCGACAAAAACGCCAGTGCGAATCTAGTATGTACATTGTATATATTGTATCTACTAATCTTTCATCATTTAGGGCTTGGCAGTATATTAACATATGCTTGGCTCTGTCTGAAGTCAATCTTTTGCAGAGTTTATAGTTATATTCATTCTTTATTAAAATTAAATACTTTATTAAATAGGCGATTTTAGCGAAAAAACAAGTTTTATTAGGAAAATATGTACCAAGCTTCCAGACAGCTAGTGGACGAAAATTAGTATGAACACGTGCGTAATGTAAAAGTTCAAGCCTCATTTCAAGTTTAGTCCTCCACAATGATTATTCGCAGCAGTGAACTGCCGTTTCAATACTCCTCCTCCAGACTGGTTTCAGGACATAATATAGGGTGTTCATATGTTGTGGAAGAAACAACCAAGCGGGTATTTCAAAAGAACACGATAAATATCTTTAACAAAGCCATCTCTCTCTCTCTCTCTCTCTCTCTCTCTCTCTCTCTCTCTCTCTCTCTCTCTCTCTCTCTCTCTCTCTCTCTCTCTCTCTCTCTCTCTCTCTCTCTCGTATCAGGAAGTCAAGATTTCTTCTGTTGAATATAACTGTCCATGTTAGTGAACTGTTGGCTCTGCAGATTTTATTGAATGAACATAATTTTATCTTATCTACATATCATTCAGCTGACCAAAGGCCAAGACTGCTACTTGTTGTCTCTGTAGATGAGCACCGATCAAGACTTATACTTCTTCTTGCAGCTTTTCTTTGACCAATTTTTATATCAAATATCTATGACTGGCTCAAGTTGGACCATAATTCGAATCCATATGTCATAGCAGGTTGTATTAGTTATGACCATATTTTAGTACCATTAATTGGATTCATACCATCCTTTCCAACGCCAATTCCATCAAAGAAGTAATACACCGATCTTCCTTTGTCCCAAGCATTTTCACTGCAGCAGTATTAGAAAGATCTGTGGAGAGAGTAAACCCAGCATATCTTCTCATATACTTTAGAGGAAACTATAGGAATCATTTTATCTCCGAGCATAATCATAGATCATTGTATTTTTTCTTCGAAAATATGACAATATTGCTTTTATCAGCATTATATCGGAGTCTCCCCTTTGATGCCGTTTGTCTTTTGTCCATAACGTTTGTTTTCTTCTTATCTCTTTATTTAGTTCAGCGCTACATTATTGAATTTCCAGAAAGGTTTGAGGTAAGGCGGGAAGGTTTTATTTGGAAGATTTTTGTCAGCTGTATTGCATATAACAGTCACAACAGTAACAAGAGCGTTTTGTACATCTGCAATGTGAACTGAAGATAGCTCCACTGAATTTAAAAGCTCGTTAATTTCTATTCTATACCGCTCTTGGCGTTCTGACGAATCTTTTCGCCAGTTGATTGTAACTGGATATTTGGAAAATGTTGATTCCTAGAGTTAGTCTGGAACTAAAAACTCTGCTCTTACAGGTAAATGATCGGATAGATTTAGATGATGATCATCTTACAGGTAAATGATCGGATAGATTTAGATGATGGTAATCTTACAGGTAAATGATCGGATAGATTTAGATGATGGTAATCTTACAGGTAAATGATCGGATAGATTTAGATAATCATCTTAGTGTTGGCACTACGGACTAAATCTATTTTTGAGAATGGTTAAAAAATATATTCAATCAAGGATGAGTGTTTGCCGTCAGATGAGCAGTATGTATATCCTGGTATTCCAGAAGGGGAAATATCACATGTTGACATTAGATGCCTAATATATAACCATTGTCATTTGCACTATTCGGAATCCATTTTTTCTCGGTAGCTCCGCATTAAAGTCGCCAAAAATAATCGCAAAACTTTTTTGACTATATTCATCATGAAGGCATTCCACGGTTTACATTATTTTTTTATAAACATATAAGTAGGCATTTGAGGGAGAAAACCACACAAATAACATAAACAACTTGATAGATCGCAGGTTAATTTCAACTTCAATAATTCTGTCGTTTCCGATGATATTCGTAGGACGAACCGATAGTGACTTCCGAAAACCGCAATTCCTCAAAATCCGGACACTTATTAATTCTGTTGTCCGGTCTCAAAAAAAAGCAGTAAATTCCCTGTCAATGCTTTGAAAACATTGCAGTTGCTCTGGATGTAACCTAGCCAATGCTCTTGCATGCACACAATATCAACCTCATGAAGTAAAGAACAAAGATAGGTAGGACGTTCCTGTCATAATGCTCTTTGCATTCAAAGTCGGTATATTTAGAGCAGTCATTTAAAAGTAAACAAAAGCTCCTCCATATGCAATTAAAGGACACTGCATCATTTATATATCGTACCATTCTTTGGCTAATACAAATTCAGGCTATTACAAATTCAGTCTAATACAAATTCAGGCTATTACAAATTCGGGCTAATACAAATTCAGGCCAAAAGCCCTGCTCTAAAGTTTGGTAAGCAGATTATCTGGAACAGAAACACGAATTGTATAGGTTTCATACTTGACCACTTTTTAAGAATTGTAATATTTGTGATTTTTACTCCTCGGTTGTAAGCATGCCTGAGAATTACATGTTTTAGCTCTTCCGGGGTATAATCTTCTTTGATACGCGATTACAACAAAGATGTTGCTTTCGGGCTCCTCTTCACTCCACTGAATGCCATATTGCTGATTCGTACCTTGATTGGTTTCAAATTAGCATTCATATCATACATAGCATTCATGCCATATGTTTGAGTGGGGAATTTCTGTTATGTCTTTTTATCCGAAGGTTGATTTTGATTAGTTTTATCTTCATTCTCAACAACTGTCTTTTCTCATGTTTTTCCTTTGTCTGCTTCACATATTACATTTGGTGCTTTAGTGCCTTGCGTTTGTGCTAAACCTACAGTACGAATCTCATATGTTGGTAGCCTGGAATCGCTTAAGCCGGTATTTCTATATTATTACTGATCTGACAAAATACTGTTACGGGAATCTTAATGAATATAAATGATGGCTTTCAATGACTCTTGTATTCGGAGCTTGGTATGGTATACTAGATGTATTCAAAAATGGGCAAGCAGATCTGGTCATTTTTGCATAAGAGCATGACAGATGTATACAATTTGTAGGTTGAAACAGAATTCCACGAATCACGGCACTTACTGTCTCAATTTATTTCTCATTTACAGCTTGCAGCTTTTTCAATTACCATTGCCTGGCTCTCTATGCCATCTCATATTAGATCAGATTCCAAATGCAATTCCGACTCCCTTGCCTTATCAAAGCTCGATTCAAGTCTTTTAATTTTACGTTGTATCATATCATCCAAACGAACTGCTTTCTTTAAAGATCTCTTCATTTCTTCCTTAATAATTGCACAATTGACGTGTAGTTCATCTTTTATATATTGTTTCAGATCCATAAATTGTTCATATTGCATTATGGAACAATGGTTTCAACTCTCTCATCCGGGCAATTAATTCTACATTCGTCTAATGATGCAGAACTTCTTGATTGATCCATGGCACTCGATTGACCAGTTTTTGGCACATTATTTAAGCAGCTCAAACTGTCTGTTCTGTCCGGCTTGCTTTTTCCATCCCTAGACATACGTGCTTTTATTTCGCTAGTGTTTCCATCCCCCTATTGAAAATGGAATATTGCATATATGTCGTCTGCTATTTTCTCTTTCACTGGAGCACTATCCGAACGTGATGTCCTGTCCACCAGTCGACCAGAGGGATAACTTGGAAAGCTGATCCTACCAATATCATGCAGAGAACTACAAATATGGCGAAAGGATATTACGTCAAGGCTACTCGATATCTCTCTCTTGAATGACTGTTTGTCGAACCTGTCATATTTTTCTTTTATTTCTGCAAGAATATAGCGTTCTAATTGAGATGCGTACGGTATATAGCTATCTGAGTCCTGGGAATTCTGAGTATCTTGAGTATCCTGATTGTCCATTCTCGTCACAATAATCATATATCAATTAATGACCATTAATTTGTGAGAAATTAGTATGATTAAATATATACTATGCAGACCATGCTAGATACTCATTACATAGGTGATATGTGTTCATTATAGCATTAGCACATGCTGCTGAAACACTCCGACAGCCTAGTGGTTAGAGCATCCGCTTCGGAAGCGGGAGCTCGTGGGTTCAATACCCGGTCGAGTCATACCAAAGACTTACAAAAATGGTACTAACAGTTGGCGCTTAGCATTAAGGGGTTAATGTTAGGACTGGTCGGCCTGGTGTCAGGATACTGTGACTGGGTGGTACATCATGCTTCATATCTACGGCAACGATACCCCAGTGCTAGACATCACTTTAAACTGCCACACTGCACTGAAAAATTGTTAAAGCTACGTTACAAATCATAATCACATCACTTAGCAAATGCTCTGGAAACAATTAATGGATTATTTGAGCGCATACTATCTATAGAATAGATTACTAATCCACTGAATAACGAGTGAATTAAAGTGAACATTTGGTAGATGAAAGATATGTAATCATATAGAATATTGAATATTTAATGCATTAGACATATAAACTGGAAATCAAACAATAAAAAACCCATTAAGTATCAACATCCACAAATGCAATAACACCAAGCTTAATTTATGTAGCACATTAGATCCAACTGAAACATCTGTCATGCGCGATAGACACACACACTTTTTCCTAGCCTGATACATCATAAGGGCGATAATAAACTTCGAAAGGAAAGCTGAATTTTCTTGAAAAGAAATTTATATGAAATCATAGAATACACGCCATTCTGCTCTTAAAGTATCCACACAGCAGAATATCAACATTGGAATGAAAAACATTTATCTTTACTCCATAATTCATCAAAAACTTGTACACATGACGTCCACCATGCCCAACATTTTGCAAGTATGTATGTATGTATGTATGTATGTATGTATGTATGTATGTATGTATGTATGTATGTATGTATGTATGTATGTATGTATGTATGTATGTATGTATGTATGTATGTATGTATGTATGTATGTATGTATGTATGTATGTATGTATGTATGTATGTATGTATGTATGTAAGCAGCAGAGAGGGTGAACCCTACAACAATATATTTGCGACAAAATCGATTAAAGCCTCAGAATGCCAAATTGCTGCCATCTACGTCTACAAATTTTTGCGACAGAATCGATTAAAGCCTCAGAATGCCAATGGAACCTTCCTACGAAATCTCATATTTTAACCAAAAAAAAAATAAAGACCCCATCTTAGCGATTTTGTCGCAAATACATTGTCATAACCACACTCAAATTGCTGCCATCTACGGTCGCAAATATGTTGTCATTTCACCCTCTCTGCTGCTGATTAATACAAATTATTTAACCAAATATTTGATCAAGTCCAATACGATATCGTGACCGAGGGTCGTGTAAATTTATTGTTATAAATCCATATGGGACAGACTGAGCATGACTAAAGTAATTTTTAAATCCATTGAAGTCCATATCGGAACACCATGTTTGCCAAATATTTCGTAGCGTATGTGTATCAACGCCATTGAATACAGCAAGAATATTGCAGTTATCGCGAATCACTTTTGGAATTTGAGTATATCGTTGAGTGACATATATCACGTCAGTGTTTTTATGCCTACCTCGGGAAAATATTCTAGCAGGGTTCTTTTGATTATCTAACATTACATCATCGTACACTACAAGATTGTTTATGTCTCCATCGAGATCTTCTACTGATGGTGCATCATCAATATCAGTAATAAAGTCGATTACACTTTCATCTTTAATTTCTGATGCATTTTTATTAAAATCTTTTAGCACTTCATAGCACCGTTGATCATCTACGGATGGGGCAACTAAATATAATCTATCCCACTTCATAAATCGCATTATCAAATTAAGCAGTAATTGTGTTTTGCCTGATCCAGATGGTCCGATTATAATGGCACGGACAGAATTCGGAAGCGCTGCGTGGTGTTTTACCGGTTCTCTTCTTTTAGTCGCTGAAAAATCAATTATATTCATAACGCTATATATAAATTATGGATCTATATTGTGTTAAGTGTAAACAGCGTACTGATTCAACCGATCAGACAACCATTACAACTAAAAACAATAGACTAGCGCTTACTGGTAAGTGTGTAACATGTGGTACAAAAAAATTTAGATTTTTAAAAAAAAGCAACTCGGAGGTGATATTGCCGCAAAACTTGGAAAACTCCCCGGAACCCCATGGGCAAAATACCCCGGAGAAAAACACCTTCCAGGATATAGCTACTGTGGTCCCGGAACGAGATTAGATATCAGACTTGATGATCAAAATCAGCCCCGGCCTGGTGAGTATCCGATAAATGCTATTGATAAGGCATGTCATGCTCATGATGTTGCATATAAAAGCAATAATTTGCAACAAAGACATATCGCGGATGTAAAATTAATTCATGCCTTAAATGCTATTCCCGATAAATCCTTCAAAGAAAAATTGGCTTCATGGTTGGTCAAATCAGCTATGAAAGGCAAATTAGTGTTAGGTGCTGGTAATTGAAAACACCAGTGTTTTTATAGTATGGAATCTATTTATTATTCTCCGAAAGGATACTGGAGGGGTAAAGCAGCAATCAGTAAACTCGCTAACGCTGCAAAAGTGAAAAAATCCACTGCAAAAGATTGGTTATCCAAACAAGCTATATGGCAAATTTATCTACCACCGCCTAAACAAATTAATTATTCTCATTTTGATGTTACCGTACCCAATGAAGTTCATCAGGCTGATTTATTGTTTTTACCACATGACCATGGTTACAAATACGCGCTAACTGTAGTTGATATTGCGAGTCGATTTAAACAAGCAGAACCATTGAAAACAAAGTCAGCTTCTGAAGTCGCTTCTGCATTTGAAAGGATTTATCGACGAGGTCCTCTAAGATGGCCAAATCTATTACAAGTTGATCCTGGCAAAGAATTTCAAGGTGCTGTTCTATCAACAATGAAAACTCATAGTGTTACAATACGACGGGGACATACTGCGTTACATCGTGATCAGGCAATTGTAGAACGATTTAATCGAACTCTTGCAGAACGGTTATTTGGATATCAATATGCAAAAGAATTCATCCAAGAAAAACGATCTCGTGAATGGGTCCAAAGGTTACCGAGTGTAGTTGCAGCGTTAAATAACGAGATTACTCGAACTATTAATATGAAACCAAATATTGCAATAAAAAAAGAATATATTCCCGAACAACCGCAGCGGGTTAGCACTCAGCCACTTCTCGGTGATGTTACTGTGAGATATTTATACGAACCAGGAGAGCTTGAAGGCGGTAAAAGAAGAGCTACTGATCCTATATGGAGTGTTACTACGCATAAAATTTCAACCATAACGCGATCAACTGGTAGACCTCCAATCTACAGATTGGATTCAACTGCACCTCATCGTGGTTTTACACGCGAACAACTACAAGTCATTCCGGACGATACTCAATTACCGCCACATGGTCTTAACTAGCTCCGTTACGTCTATTACACTCAAGACAGGTCAACATCACATTGTTTCTGACATGACCAAGACTGTTATTTTTTCTGTCTACGGTGAATTGTCGAGGGTCTTTATCCGAATACTGCCAGTGCATTATACAATTGCAACTGGCGCAGTGATTATTCTGTTGTTCTTTTAATGCGATTATTACTTCAGCATCAATATCAAATTCTCGTTGTTTTTTTTTGTCCTGCTGTTTGTAGCCAGAGAGTTTTTTATTAATGATGCTAATATCAGTGTTGTCATCGTTTGCATTAAAATCATCATCGAAAACAATCCTTCGTAGTTGATTTATTCGTCGTACTCTGGACACTGCGAGATAGACTAAATTTGACCATTCAATGCGATTATCAACTATCCAAACAATTGTATCCGTGATGGTCAATCCTTGTGACGAGTGTATTGTTGTTACATAACCAAGCGTCCATGGTGATTTATCAGCGTATAATGCATCTTCTACAGTATTGATATCAACTAGCACAATATCATTTAACACTAGAATCTGTTTCTCCGTCTGGCCTGGAATTTCAACTTCAATATTCTGCTTTCGTGTATCCAATGGTCTATAACACAACGGCACTGGAAACGTTGGGAATTTTTTCTTGTGTAGCTCAAACAACTTTTTCTGAAGTGCGTCTCTGACTATCTTTCTACTTGCTACTACAAAATCATTTGGTTTCCATGTTTCCCAAAAATCATTCAAAGGTGTTTCAGAAATTATTTCACGCGCTACTTCACATTGAATTCTATCGGGTTGTAATCTAATTAGTTTTTTAAACTCACGTAACTGCTCATCGAGTGCTCTATAGTCAGTATCAATTTCTTCGTAATAATCAACAAATCCTTTTAACCAATTATGTGGACTTCTACCAACAAATGGTGGTGGTTGACCATGATCGCCGCATAATATAATTTTTGTATTATTTTGCAATAACCAATCAAGAAACATTTTTAATACATCTTCTGAAACAGTACATGCTTCATCCCAAATAATAACCGCTGGAATAAATTTCTCACCCATTCGCTCAGGAGTCCAAGCATCGCCCTTGTATCGAAAAAAACTATGATACGTGCAAGCTTCAACATTTCGTTGTTTGATCTCTCTCGCTAGTCTATGGGTTGGTGTGAGTACAATCATGGACGTTCTCTCTCGATATAATTCTATCGCACGTGTTGTCTTTCCAGATCCACCACAACCGTTTAAATAAACTGTTTTATATCTACAAATTGGATCTGATATCGGTGGTGCTTTAGACATAGATTTTTCACTGATAGAATTATCGTTCTTCAGGTAACTGCTTTTAATCTCAACGTCTGCTGATTCAGAATAATCGCGTTGTATTTCTTGTTTAATTCGCCATGTTCCCCAAGTCTCTTCGCTATTAGTAAATTTAGTTATCTCTTTGATATATTTTTTATCGACATACATTGAATCAATTGCAACTCTGACTGCTATACTAGGAAATCTATTTATCATTGCAAATAAATTGATAGATGCATAACCCAGCATAGAAGCTCTCAAATGTAGATATGCAGAGCTTTCTCCATCACTGTAAGTAACAATTCTACCTAACTTTGTTTTATTGGACAAGAAGGCTGTTTTACAATTTGCGTATCTATTTTTCTCTACTGCATCT